AATTTTTGTTTACAGAGAGGTTCGTTTGGATATTAACACGTAATTAATCACTTGCTTAAGAAGTAAGGATGTACTTATTAAAACTCTAGTATGCTAATTAAGATAGCCAAAGAAGGAATACATTTACTGCATATGGCCATTTGGTTCATTGATGAATAATTAGTGTTCAAATTCCCATTAACAACCACCAGAGGCGTTCTCCCGTTGGTTGTGATGCCGCCCCAAATCATAACGCCGCCTCCGCCGAAAGAACGTCGTTGTACCACACACGTGTCACGGAAACGTTCTCTAACGCGACGATACACTCTGGAACGGCCGTCACTACTATCGTGGTGGACTCGCGACTCGTCCGTAAACAAAATGCCTGCCCAATCGCAGATGCCTTCTGCACCAGTCCAGACGTGCTACCCGATGACGTGGCAAAAGAACTGGGCGGATTGCAGGACGTCGCGGACGGAGGGCTCGTTCACGCAATCGGCTGCGTACAGTTCTCGGGTTTATTGGTAGCAACCGAGGGATTTTCCATGCAGTCAAACTTGCCGTTTGGAAGCGATTTCTCAAATGGACAAGCCGAATATGGTTGTCCTGTTGACGTGACGTCACACATTGACGTCCCGCACGAGGTCGATTGCCGACGTGGCCAAACTGTTGATGTCGTCTCCACAAATCCCGGATTGTGTATTGATGGACATGAAAACGTGTAGAGACAACGACTTGGCCAATACCAGCTTGAAGCATACCAATAATCCGGAGGCTGTCATTTTTGTTGAGCCTCGGCATAGCATTAATCATAAACGAAAACGTTATAATGTTGTTTTTACTGTTCACTGGTCTCAACAGAGTGACCCAACAGTTAAAAAATGAACTTTCATTGTCGAATGGATAGATGGACGAGAAAAACGTGCAAACTGGTCAACGCCTATAGAGAGCAAACTGCACGAGAAAAACTGTCAATGACACACGGATAGTGTGTATATGTCATACTCGGTCATGTGTGTGAATTTTCATGTATATACCGTTGGTAATACATGTTCTATAACAATTCTCCGCTAGTATATGTAAATATGCAGCAAAAGGAAAAGGTGCCAATATAAACCCTTCTATAGAGTTGGAACTTGTTGCTGCGGCAAATAACTTATTCTCAGTATTAAGTGTAAACCACAGAATAAATACCAGCTACAAGGTCACGGTCAACATCGAAGAGTGATAATCAACCAGCTGATTCAATCACCTTGTTGCTTCAAACGATCCCTAGAAATACGAGGAAACGCCTAAGACGCCCCTATTTGAAGAAAGTAAGCAATACAGTTTAGCTTGGGCCGTGATAGAAAAAAAAGGGGGGGGGGAAAGGGAGTGGATATTCTATATGTGATTTAACATTGTGTTTGGTGTTCATGTGTTCGATCAAAATGGCTGTATGAATCTCTGTGTTCAGACCTGAAACATTCCTTTGTTGTGTAAATATATGGGAAAAGTTAATTTTTATTGATACTAGATAACAGTATAGTAAATTTTGTGAAAGCAATAATTTTGTGCAAATGTTTAATAAAACTGAGACTTATTTTGTTAAAATCATACAACTTGAAGAGGTTTCAAGAGACTATCTGTATTGAATAGACATTTTCATAGGCGTCTTTTGCGGTCGATCAATTATGGTTTTTTTTGAAAGGAGAATTTATTAGAAGAGAAATTATAGGAGGAATTTAATTCAAATGATATGATTTAACACTCACTAAGATAAGTTTTGCATACTGTTTTAATTCTCAAAACTTTCGTTTTAACGTCACCATAGACTCGTTTTATTCAACTTCAAATATTGAAATTTACCTGCAGTATGACAACCATGGTCTCCTCACTTTAACATATTTACATTTGTACAATAACATTCGCCCCTTCTGTATGAGGAGCGCAATATTTCGATTTCGTTTTGATGTTTACTCGGGTATCTATGATGTCTTTTTGTACCAAGTTTGAGTTCATACATTGTCTTTGTGTATTGACGTTGTTTTACCTTTTTTTAGACCCTTGACTTCTGTTCGATGACGTAATGATGAAGTTGGACATTACCAGATTACCGCTTTGAATTCGCGTAGTGTTACTTACATGATTTTGTTAGGAGCTTAATATTCGTACGGTGTAGAATTCGCGAGAAACATGTCGAGTTTGTTCTTATTACATTTCTCATGCTATCCCGTGACTTTCACGTGACAGGTGTATCAGGTGATTTTTTCAGGTATCGAAATTAACAATGCATCTTAACTAAAGTAACCTTGTCGTATTGGTTTGATTGATTGAAACTAGCTCGAACATGTGACACGAACGAAGTTTTCTGACTACTTCATTTATCCATGCATGTGTAAATCTAATAAGCGATTTTTTACACCAGAACTCTTTGTCTTTAGTATCAATATTAACTAAATCTGTGAATCTTCGCTGCATTTATGAACTCGTGGATGAATCCTTCCAGAGAAAACACAAAAATAACACAGTCAGGAAAATACTCGGATACACAACCTTACGACGATAAAGATGATTTTAAAAGGTCATTACATTAGTACAGAGCAGCAGTGGCCGATTGGTTAAGGCAGCTGACCGTCTAAGACCACTCGCCATTCACCACTAGGTCGCGGGTTCGATGTATACGCAGTCACAAGATTCTTATCGCAAGCCGGCTTTTTTCCTAGCACACCGGTTTTCCTCCACCACCAAAACCTGACGCGTCCTTACACGACCAAAGCTGGTAAAAGGAAGTTAAACATAACCAACACAATTGTTAAAGACAACACGTCCAACAAGCATTATATTTAGTTGTTAGCACTCCCCCACCCTCACCCGACCCCCGAAATGTAGATAAAGTTAGACGCCGCTGAGTATAAACATTTATACAGATGAACAACTTTAAGTCCGTCCACAGACAATTGTGGTTGTTATTGCAATGTTATACATTATCTCTGATGTTTAAATATTCCAGTTTACACTCTTAAATAACTGTGCAATAGCTAAGCTATGCTGCAACGCCCAGACTGACTTGTAATAACCAAACCCTGTACCGGGTCGGTGAAAAATAGATCTACTGTATCTTAATGCATGCCGTAAGGAACCCTCTGCAGAATTAGAAGAAATTGAAGAGATTACTTATGGGATCTATATCGTTTCTTTTCTCGCTTTCCTTTTCTATTTTAGGATGTCTCTCTTAGCACTCTTCTTTAAATTACCTAAGTCATTCAAGGTCATATAAAGACGAGTATCTAATGAGAAATCATCGAGAAGTAAGAACAGAAAAGATACATATTAACCAACATGTTCCAAATGGGGGAGCAGGTCAATTTTGGTTTCTGAAATGTCCCCTCAGCAGAAGACGAAGAAGAGAGCCCCCGATTTTGTAGGGTAGAGGAACATCAGCCCCCTCTTACCACAACATGTAGTGGATTACAGCAGGCCTATTCGATATCTTCCCTTACCTGCGAGCTAAGTCAGAAACGTGTTATAAACTCAATTAAATATTTAGTAATTGTTGTTTTTGTATTGTACTGCAGTGTTCATTTATAAGACGTTGTTACCGAGAAATATTTTTACGAGTGGTTTTGATGTCTAATAATAATTCCTGCTGAAACTATATAGTAAAACCAATGATTTATTAAATGATTTCTACCATCCACTGCTAACCGATATATACCTTATTTGAGGCCTCCCTTCAAGCCGGATTGCTTTGTCGCGATTCCGCGATTTAACGATTACGATGTACCTGACAGCGAATCCATATTGTATCTAAAATTGACCGTATGGCATATTGCCTATAGTAAGTCTTTAGTATATATCTGTAGCAAAATCCTCATTAAACATGTATGCTGGGTAATAAACCTAGAAAGACCTCTGGTGAACCTATGTGAGTATGTGCAATACGCACATACAGGAGGACACACGAGAAACCACGTGTTTACGGCGTGAAGGGCATTCAGAACGCAGACCTAAAATATTGTTAGTTTAACTTAACAAGTCCACGACAGCTATTAATTGAAGACTCTTAAATATTTGAAACTGAAGAAGAACTTTAAATCTAGAGGTAGCAGTTTTATATAAACGCAGGTCATTTTTATTAATTGTTTTTAACATTTTATTGACAACATCCAGCTGCAGCAAATCCTAAAGCAAGATCTCAAGCATAAACAACTTTGAAGGGCACCGCATTCCCAGCAGACGAGCCGGGAGTGATCGATACCGCCGATATTGTAATTCAGGCGCAAACACTGGCTAGATGTATATTCCTAGTGTGAGTGGCTAATAGCATACATATGCGCTAGTTTAATACGCAGATGTAGATGGGGGAAAATGTTGTAATAATCAACTAAACGGAATAGTTCTCAGTTCGCTTTAAATGTAAAAGACGATTCACTATCACCGGCTTCTCTGCTTGAAGATACAGTCATCAGGGTCATGTTTTAATAGTCAGAATGTCACCGTTCCTATAGAAATGCTTGGATGACGTATAATGCACATTAGATTAAAAACCTGATGATTTATTTCTTAGGTGTAGAAAGTGACTATGTAATTTGAAGTAAGGGTCACGTAAGATCCGGTTATTCGTTATTTAAAAGCAAATCGTATGTGAATTTATTGAGATTTGGTCCACTGTATACAAATGTAACTGGAAAATCGTAAACAAATATCAGCATAAGATTCATTGAAAAGTATTACTTATTTTTTAAAAACGTGTAAACACGTGCTCTGCACGTGTGACTCAAGACATTAACATTTTTATTATGTATATTAATATAGACAGTACGGCATTATGATGTAATAATCAATGTTAAGAGAAATTAATATACCGATAGATGCTTTAAATCTTTAAATAACATACATGCTCATATGTTATCACACACATACAACTTGAATGCGTACGTGATAAATCGTCAACCAACATATTTTAAGAATTGCAAATGTACTGTACTGAACTAACACGAACAGAAACGGTAATGGTCAGAGTGATTTCTTGTACCTACCTTAGAGCTTCCAATAAAAACTACAGGCAGGAAAATTAGCGGCACCAATATGACAATTAACAGTTGTCTCCACTTGTGAAGTACTCGCAATAAAACCCGACCACCGCTGGTATTGTCCGTCATGGTTATAAATGTTTTATCATATTGACGGACGTTTCGTCATCTAAAATACCAGTGTCACACCTGATTTGTGACACGTTCACATGTATTCGACCTTATTGATTGCAAACAATGTCAATATATTTACATCAACACTAAAGGAAATACCGGAGCTACACAAACGTAACACACAAGAGCTAATTGTTCAGATGTCTGGCAGCACGTACACCCGTGTAGCAAAATGTCGGCAGCTTGCCACAGATAGGAACATTCCTGTCCATAAAGCAAGCCGCGTTTTATATTGAACATGTGATGATGTCTGTCCCTAGAGTGTGCGTCCATATCTAATAGTTTATATGTGCGTTTATCGTTAAGGATGCTGTGTTGGCAATGTCACAGAGAACGAAATCACAAAATAACATTAATGTGTCTGCTTGTGCGTTTATTTCGGTTCGTCTGTGAACATACCCTATTTATGTTCGTAAAACATTAATGTCATATATATTTAGATATAAACATATGTAGTCATAAAATACTAAACCATTAGATTTATAGCATAAAATATCATATATTTTCTGGTTCATGGCTGTTGCTCTGATATACCATTTAGGTGAGGCAATATACAATCAGATATCAACAGATCGCGACCGACTGTATGGCGTTCAACTGATAGGCGATAGCACACACTGACTTAAATACCCGGTCATGCGTGGAAGATATTATGTTGTTTTTCGTCTTTCGTCGTCGCTATTGTTATTGAACTACACCCATTCTTGTGTGTTTGTGTGAATAATTCATTTCAAAGTCAGCAGTGGGCTACACAACTATACACATGCAGCTTTATACGGAGTAACCTAATACCATCCTTACAGAAGTAGGTCCGACACTGTAAAATGTAGGAGAATTGTTTTATTCACATGGTTCAAGATCAAATGCATAATGTAGTTCAGTTCTGCGTCTCACAGCATCAGCCTAGGACATATGTTTCTTTTGAATACATAGCAAGATGAATATAATTTGAATATGGAATAATATATATTTCTTCTGGTATCATTTCTAATTTTGTTACAAATATCATACTTTGTAATACAAGTTTTGTCGACTTAATGATTTTATTTTTCAATATAACACGGTCAAAATAAATATGACGCTTATTTTCTGTTTAAAGCACAACGGTTTTAAGAAAATATTTTGCAGGACAATCAAAAAGTGAAATACATTCATAAAGCTACGACATTGTCATTATCGCTAATCATTGAATCTTTAAATGACAATTACTGTCAACATATTGTGCCTCCTAATTTTTCCTGTTATTCAAACTTTTTTGATAATGTAACTATGGACGAGCCTGACAGTGCAAGTGTGGTGTAGAATGACACTAAGACTGGATTACAATATATACAAAATTTAATTTACAAAATATACACTATGGTTTTGTTATTTATAAGTAGTATAAACCTTTGCCTTTCTCACTCTCACATAAAGTAAGTATAAACAGCAACATATCACACAAAGCAGATAGATATACTTATACTGAAATTACACAGGTAACTATACACTAATACTGGCAAAGTCACTGTATGAAATCACTGCCTGGATACAGTGATCATGACAAGGTTCGTCCACCGCGGTCCGTAGTCCCCGGTCCCGTCTCCTATTGACGACCTTAACCATAACTCCTGTGCTGATGGGATGTTATAACAAATATAAAAACTCACCAGAATCTGTGGTTTGTGCTTGCTTACACCTTCTCAATAGCGACTGAGCAAATCTACGTGTGTCTACTCATGGCTAACTGTTGATCCCTAATTAAAACCCGTAGACGGATGACCAAAACTCCGGCTTAGTAAAATTATCATTCAGTTACCCATGTTATCAATAAAATTAGGTTACTTAACAAACATATATATTAGTGACCGTGACAGATACATATACATAAACCAGATATATAGTTCACAAATACTCTCACATGCAGACAAAGACAATGGTTTATCAGTCCTCCTCCTCCTCCTCCTCCTCCTCCTCCTCAGCATCATCATCAGCAGCAGCAGCAGCAGCAGCAGCAGCAGCATCATCATCATATATACACAATTTTCGAAGCATTATAAATATCACATATACACAATGACAAGCATAATCATCTTTATCATCATCATCACATATACACAATTTTCGAAGCATCATAAATATCACATATACACAATAACAAGCATAATCATCTTTATCACATAAACACAATGACAATCATCATCATCATCATCATCATCATCACATATACACATTTTCGAAGCATCATAAATATCAGATATACACAATGACAAGCATGATCATCTTCATCACATAAACACAATATCAATCATCATCATCATCAGCAGCAGCAGCAGCAGCACATATACCCAATTTTCGAAGCATTATTATTATTACATATGCACAATATCAATCATCATTATCATCATCATATATACAGCTTGACAATTATCATCATCATCATCATCATCATCATTATCATCTTCTCCATCGCATGCTTCATTTGCTACCCTTATATGTTTAGTTTGTTCTTTTGACGTACAACAGAAGGTGTAGAAATAAAAGATATATTTAAAGATACAAAAAGTTTGCTATTATATCTAAAGTGAGCTGTTAGTATTTCATTTACATAACATATTCGGTCTACATTATATTTTGCATCAAAACATGTCGCTTTCACAAATAGTTCCCCCTCGCAATTTGCATAAATCACCATATAGGTATCGTTTGAGAGGGACTTTTTTATGCTTTCTGTTTATGTTTTATGTTTTATTTAGAACATTTATGACCCATTCGGTTGATTTGCACTTCGAAGGTACTTTCAGTGGTGGCGGGTTGCAAAGTCTATTATGAACATTATCAATAAATCAAACAATGATGCTCCTCTTGTAATAAATGGTGAACTTAAATCACATCCAGTGGATAAAGCAGAATCTTTTAACTCATATTTCACCTCTGTCTCTACTTCTGACAAAACTGACCTTGACATTCCTCCTAATTGTCCTATCTCACAAGAAAAAATATCTTCCATTATTATCACTGATAAGGTCATTAAGGTAATTAAGGTCATCATTAAGGTCATCATGATTAGCTCCAACTTATTAATGTAAAAAAATCTGCTGGTCCAGATGCACTTCCCCCTTATTTTATTAAAGGTATTGCTGACTCTCTTGTAAAGCCCTTACTGTTAATTTTTAACAAATATTTGGAAGTGTGCTAATGTTACCCCAATATATAAGGGCAAGGGGGGAAGAGGTGACCACAGTTACTATAGACCAATCTCTGTCACATCATTATTTAGTAAACTTTTTGAAAAAATAGTTTTTAAACATCTCTTTAATTTTCTATCCGAGAATATTGTTATATAAAAAAATCAGTCTGGCTTCCTTCCCAATGACTCCACAGTTAACCAATTAATATTTTTATATGATGAAGCTTCAAAACAACTTGATCAAGGAAAAGAGGCAAGGATAGTATTTTGTGACATCAGCAAAGCTTTTGACAGGGTCTGGCACAGTGGATTGATTTACAAATTGAAGAAATATGGAATTTGTGACGACGTTTTGAACTGGATTCATTGCTATCTTATTGATAGACAACAAAGGGTATTAATAGATGACTACAAGTCATTTACAAACATTAAAAGCTGGTGTACCCCAAGGCTCGGTTCTCGGCCCTTATTGATTTTTAATATTTATTAATGACATAGAAGATGAACTCCAATCCCATGTCAAAAGCTTTGCTGATGACACTTCTCTTTACGTTTTGATAGATGGTGATGGCGGACATGCTGCAGATATTCTTAATGAGGATTTAAGGATCTGGGCTGATACATGGGGAATATCATTAAATCCAAGTAAAACTGAATCATTACTTATGTCTAATAAAATTAATTCTGAGACATCTCATCCAGATTTGGTATTCTCAAATAGTGTCGGTATAAATGTCAAAAATCATAAACATCTTGGTTTGCTTTTTAATAGTCGCGGATCATGGTCTGATCAAGTTAATTATATACATGGAAAAAGCTGTACAAAACTACAAATAATGCGAATGCTCAAACACAAGCTAGATAGAAAATCTCTTGAAATAATTTATAAATCTTTTATAAGACCAACACTTGAATATGCTTGTGCTGTGTGGAATAATTGCACCCAGGGTGAAAGTGACTTATTGGAATCAGTCCAATTAGAATGTCTCAGAATTATATCAGGTTTGAGAAGAGGTACAAGTCATAACTTAATATATAAGGAAGTTGGGGTAGATAAACTAAAAATAAGACGTGATAATTACCAATGTATATTATTTTTCAAGATACTGCAGCATGACTGTCCTGACCATCTTTATGATTGTATTTTACAATATTTTAATAATGATATTAATCCTCGCCTTAGACATCATAGAAACTTTATTGTTCCCTTGTGCAGAACCAACTTGTATAAAAATAGCTTTTTTCCTAGAATGATGTCTCTATGGAATAGGCCAGAATGTATTTTTACAAAACTCACTTCATTGAGCCAGTTAAAACTGGAATTACTTAAAGGAAAGCACACACGTTTTGCAAACATCTAACTGTACGAATATTTTTAAATATGGTGGCTCCAGGAAGTTGAATATAACATCATATCAACTACGGAATAAAGTCAGCCAATTAAAATCAGATTTATATAATGATCATCTTACAGATAACCCTAAATGTGACTGTGGTTATATTATTGAAGATGCAAATAACTTCTTCCTCAATTGCCCCAAATATATAGATGAAAGACAGGTTTTATTCAATGCGTTATCTAATTATAACGAAATTGACAACATCATCTTAAATACTGTTATTTTCACTAAGGGTGATATGAATCAAATAAATTTATTCTCTCATGTGTTCTGGAGTTTATTGACAAATCTGGAAGATTTTAACTTAAACTATACTAAAAATTATATTACAATGTGTTTGTATTTGCTATTTTATAGCAATAACTCTGGTGTAATTGGGAAGGATGGCACTGTGTATAGTGACAGTGTCTTTGAAGTGCCTCCAACCAAACACTAGGCTATTAATAATGGAAGTAAATAGACTATATTAATTGAAATGTTAAAATCTATGATATTCTAATTATTATTTCTGTGAACATGTATTAAATGGTTCTAGTATTCTCTTATTAATTCGAACATATACTACATCTTCTCTATAATACTCTCTCTCTATATATATAT